GAGAGAGAGAGAGAGAGAGAGAGAGAGAGAGAGAGAGAGAGAGAGAGAGAGAGAGAGAGAGATTGATTGATTGAGATTGAGATTCTGAGATGGCAGGGAAGAGGCCCAGACAGCTGAGGTCAATGCAGAAAGGTTTATTAACGGTAGTAGTGGCGCATGCATACTCGCTCAATTAGGCGGGCTGGCATCCGACCCGGCTAGATCATCTCAGTTGAGGTGCAGCAACTGGCAAGGTAGGTCATCCTTGTTGTAGCTCCTCCCCAATGGGAGTGGAGCTCCAGGTGAAGTCACTGGGGCCCACCCTTGCAGGCTCAATCCACGTCCCAAGTAGGTCGAGAAGCAGCTGTGGGGCGGATTGAGTTGGTGTGTGGTCAGGCTGCCGGAAGGCGGTGGCCGGGTAGGAAAGGCCTGATTGGAGGAAGGCCTCAGTTGGTAGGTGGCATCTCAATTGATTCACATGGTGCTGCCATTCGCTGCCATCTGGAAATCCGACCCTGTAAGAACAGGAGCCGGTTACTTTGGTGATGGTGGCAGGCACCCACCTTGGGTTCCCCATGAAGCTCCTGGCATAAACCAGGTCCCCCTCCCCAAATTGGCATGGCAGGGCCCCTAGGTTGCAAGGCTGCAGGATGTTGTAATGCAGGTGCAACCAACTAAAGTGCTCCGCAGGCACCAGCCCATAAGCAGCTCTGCAGGGCTCTTATGAGATGGGGGCATGGAGTGGAGTGCTGGCTGAGGAGTTAAACCGCCACCTTGTCCCGCCAGTCTCCTCGGTCCATTCGTCCCAACGCCTCCTTGGCTGAGCGGATAGCACGTTCCACCCAGCCATTGCAAGCAGGGTGGTAGGGGCAGTTGGGGCGTGGCTGATCCCTAATCCGGAAAGGAATTCCTGGAAGGCTGTGGCGGTAAATTGGGGGCCATTGTTAGTCATTATGGTGTCTGGCAGCCCATATGTGGCAAACAGACGCTGCAGCCCCCGGATGGTGGACGCCATGAGGAAGAGTTCCACCCACCAAGAATATGCGTCCATGACCACCAGGAAGGTTTTACCGTGGAAAGGCCCCATGAAGTCCACGTGGCCCTTCACCATGGTCCCCGTGGCAGGTCCCAGTTCCTAATGGGTGCAGCCGGAGGAGCCAGATGGGACTCCTTGCAGGGGGTGCAACGGCCAACCCAAATTGTTATTTCCTCATCCATCCTGGGCCACCAGACATAGCCGTAGGCCAAAGCCTTCATGTGAGTTATGCTGGGGTGGCCCAGATGGAGATGGTCCAGGACTTGGTTGCGCAGGAAGGGAGGAATGATCATCCTGTCACCCCAGAGCAAGCACCCGCTGTGGAGGGAGAGCTCCTGTTGGAGGGTCTTGAATGGGCAGTATTCTTCCTGTACCTTGCCCAAGGGTCACTCCCTTTGGACCCAAGTGAAAACCTGGGACAGGACGAGGTCTGCCAAGGAGTGGGCAGCCACGTCAGATGATGAAAGAGGCAGGCCCAAAGAGACAATGGAGAGGACCGAAGAAGAGGGAATGGGGTCAGGGTGAGTGACAGGAAGAGGGCAGCAGCTAAGAGCATCAGCATGCCCGGATGGTACTGCAGCTTATATGAATACACTGTGAAGAACTCCAGGACATCCGAGGAGACAGGATAGGTGGGATAGGATGGTCACCGGCCAGAAGTCCAAGGAGAGGCTTGTGGTCAGTGAACAAGGTAAAATGCCATCCATATAGATAATCATGGAACTTTTTAAACCCGGACACAGCATCCAGAGCCTCCTTGTCGATCTGGATGTAATTCCTCTTGGTGGAGAAGAGTGTCCAGGAGTAAAAAGCTATGGGGGCTTCAGAGCCATTGGGGAGGACATGGCTCAGAACAGCCCCCACACCAAAAGGGGAGGCATCACATGCCAACGTCAGCAGTAGCTTGTCACTATATTGGATTAGGACAGCCGCTGATGTAAGCATGGCTTTGACAGCCGCGAATGCATGTGCTTCATGGCTGCCCCAGCACCAGGCCACTGATCGGTCGAGCAACCGATGAAGTGGCTCAGCTAGTAATGCCTTGTGAGGTAAAAATGGCATATAGAAATTCAAGAGGCCAAGGAATGCCTGCAGCTCCACTTTGGAGGTAGGAGTGGAGGCGTTCCTGATGGCTTCAAGTTTGGAGGGGGTGGGGTAGATGCCCTGGGCGTCCACAAGGAAGCCTAGGAATTCCACCTGTTGCACAGCAAAGGAGCATTTGCTGTGCTTTAATTTTAAGCCCGTGTCCCTGAAATGGTTGAGGACCTTCCGAAGAACTTCGATGAGCCCTGATCGACTGTGGGCACCGATCAGGACATCATCAAAGTAGGGAACCATACCAGGAAGCTCATGGAGCAATCGCTCTATGAGGCTCTGGAAGATCCCCGGGACAACGGAAATGCCAAATTGCAAATGGCAGCAGTGGAAAGCCCCTCAGTGGGTGACAATGGTCTGGGCAGCAGTGGCCTCATCATCCACTGGGAGCTGCTGCTAGGCTTGTGCCATATCCAGTTTCACAAAGTTGCAGCCCTGCCAAAGAATGGAGCAGGTGCTGCACCACCAGAACTGGATACGAGTTTGCCTGGCAAACCTTGTTAATCGTCAACTTATAGTCGGTGCAGATTAACTCATGGGGGTCTCCCATTTGGAGTGGTCGATGGGCTCCAGAATTCCCTGTGCAAACAATTTGTTGAGTTCCGCATCAACTTTGGGCCTCAAGGCAAATGGCACTCTGCGGATCTTGAGCTGGATAGGAGCAACCTGGGGGTGTAGGTTCAGGGAAATGGGGGAGCCTTTGTATTTACTGAGCGTTCCATCAAAATGTCAGCAAACAGGGGAATGACATCATTGACAGAGGAACCCTCGGCTGACATTTGGTGAACCCCTTGGAGTGACAGCCCCAGGTGAAGAAACCAATCAAGGCCCAAAAGGGCTGGCAGAGGCTTTCCCACAATTAAAATGGGAAGCCTGCCATGGAAATGGACATAGTCAACCCAGACGGAAAGGCTACCCAGGATAGGGATCTCAGTTCCCTGGTAGTCTTTGAGACTGGTATCTGCAGCGGTTAATTGATTGCGGGTCAATCAATAGCTGGGCACAGGCGGATCAGGGTGCTCCAGGAGAGCAGGGATCTGGACGATCCAGAGTCCACCTTCATTAAGCATGGAGCCCCTTTGATGCAGAGGGAGATCTTGACTTTCTTGGTGTCAGCCAAAGCCTTGCTGACCGATGCTTCAGGAAGATCTTGCTTCCGAGTGACCACGAAGCAGTTGTCTCTGACAGGTTGAGTATGTCATTGTGGTTGGTGGTCACCACTGAAATGATGTTCTGAGGTGGCTGGTGATGGTAAGGTGACGTGGCAAACATTGGCAAGATGCCCCTTTTTATTGCAATGGTGGCATACTGCTGCTTTGAAGGGGCAAGCGTCACAAGAGTGATTGCCGCCGCAGACAAGGCATTGACTGGTTGGTTGTCTTGCCAGAGCGTGATTAGTCATCCTTCTCGGTTGTGCTCTTAGACGATCGACCTGGTCCTCCTCCGGGTCTTCCAGAGGGGCCAGTTTGTCGATGAGGCAAGTACGCGGCTGTGAAATGACCAACTACTGGTATCTCAGAATTTTGGCAGTGGACCGTTCAGAGAGTTCTGAAGTTCTGGCTTTGTCCATTGCCATCTGTAACATAATGTCAGAGCGGGCCAGCAACCTCCACTTGAGGCAGACATCGCAGACTCCACAGACAAACTGTTCAACCAGTGAGTCATCCAGGTCGTGGAATTCGCATTGTATTGCCACAGTGTGAAGTGATTGTCTCTGTTTCTTTTTGGATGCATTGCCTGAATGCATAATGGCGAGCGATGCGTGACAAAGTCGGAGCATAATGATTTTTAAGCTTTGCGATTAAAGTGTCCCATGACAAGGCATGGACCGCTAGTAGTGAAGCTAGGGATCTTGCGGTGTTAAACATCTCAGGCCAGCAAGAACTGAGGAAAAATCCGCATTCGGGATTGGTTCTTCGGGATTGGGCGGGATTGGGTGGCATACAAATTCATTAAATTCATTAAATCTTGAATCTTGAATTTTCTGTCCTCAGGTAACTGGTGATAATTATTGGCTATCAGGAAGCATTCAAAACGTTCGAGGAATCCGGCCCATGACTCTGAAGTAGAGCTGAAGGGCGCGAAGTGCGGTAGAGAAAACATATCCAAACCAGCTGAGGAGAATCAACTTCAGAAGAGAGGAGAAAAAACATTTTTTCCCTTAATTTTGCAGCTGTCTAGTGGAACGCCTCTTAGAATCCCACCTTCATCGCCAGTATTGAATTCTGAGACGGCAGGGAAGAAGCCCAGACAGCTGAGGTAAATGCAGAACGGTTTATTAACGTTAACAAGGCAAACAGCAACTAGGAACAGGAAATCAGCCCCTCGCCCTGCTTGACAGCTATTTATATTGGAGCTGTCAAGCAGGGCG